CTCAAATTCTATACCTTTACTCAAAAATACATACGCTACCCATTATATATAGATATCTGATCATTGATTAATCTATTACATATAATTTAGAAATAAAATCGCTATATTGATCACTAACCTTAATTATTAAATGAGACCATACACATAGATTACACCAAACGGAACAAACAAAATGTACTGTTGATCATCCAACAAAATTTTATAAATATAATGACTAAAATTCAAAAATAAATTAAAATAAAATAAAAATCGTATCTGTTTCTATTTGATCTGTCGGATAAATAAAAGTCCCCAACTATTCTTATTGACATACAATTTATTAATAAATATAGATGTGCTAACCAAGAAATTAATAAGAGTTTTTTTCCCGATGAATAATAAATTTAATTTATAAAAAAACATTTTGTTGACCAAAAGAATAAATAAGAAAAATATAATAATAGAACTCTATGCTATATATATATATAATCGTTGGGAATCTATCTGGCACAAATCATTAGGCTTGAACATTCTCTCTCCTCTCTTTCGCGTAAACCACTCTCTATAAATGTAGATTCTCACACTAGAACCTGAAAAGAAAAAAGGTAATAACTAATAAAGAGGTCTATATACAATTTCTATAAAAATAAATTGAGAGGATAATGACCCTCCAAGATAATATAATCAAAATATAAAATTTCTCAAATTTTAACGGCTTGTACATTAATTAACTAAATTATTTCATGACAAAGTCCTACCAATATGGCATAAATTTTAATAATATTTAAATCGGACACATGCATATACTACATAACCTAATTATAAATAAATACGCGTAAAGCAAATTATTAACAATAATAGTCAATCGCCATGTTATAGAAACTAAATTCGTATAATTAAATATATGCAATCCCTTATAATATCAATGAAAATTAACGCATAAGAATTAACAAAAGAAATAATAAGTTAACATTATAAATATGTAAAATAATAAATAAAGGGAAATATTTACGCTTACTTATGTAATTTCTTCACGATTATCAAACCATAAATATGAAATGATTTATAAGCTTCCCTTTTCCCAATGAATATATATATATATATTCTCTAATAACGTGTAGGAAAAATATATAATAAAAATACAATTAATACACATACATGTACATATATTAAACACGACGATTTTTGCCCTACACGGATATCGCGAATAAACTAAGACAAAATAATAATCCCTTGAGAAATCAATGCTTTGACCAATGAGAATTTAATAAAAGATATTTCCAGCAACAGTATTCCTAAGCAAATTGTAATAAATTAGATAAAATCATTTTGATATATGAACAATCGAAATCTTAATGCATTAATCAAAATTTAAAATTATTATATGATCAATGATAATTCAATATTTCATTTATATAAAGCAAAAGTATCAACATTTATAAAATCTTATTGTATGCCGTTTATAAAATTAATACCTTAAAACATATAAACCAATATTAAAATTTTGATACATATACGTATACACATTCTTGTTAATTAATAATATAATTTTAAACCTTGTATTCCTTAACTTCCTCTAAAAAGAAATTAATACTAACAATCAAGATCTATATAAAATCCCGCGATGTGAGCGATTTTTAATAATCATCCACCTCGACATCGACAAATCCAAATATCATTTAAAAGTAAAGCCACGGTAGTCCTGCACCTGAAAGAGAAAAATTAATTAGTTAACGAATCTCAAAATTTTAATGAAACATCAATAATAAAATATAATTGGAAGAATCAAATATTAACGATAAAATTTAATTTTAGCGACAGACTTGATAAATTACTTGGCAGAATTGATTAAATAATTAATATGCATAGTACATGACAGGCAAAGCATATTATATAATCATAAAAGCAACACAATCGCCTTTAAATAATTAAAAATATAATAATTAAAACGTGCTAAAAATATAATAACATAATATTAATAGGTACGTCTTATAGTAGTACCATTAAAAATACTTATATAATCAAAAATCCTTACAACACCGATGTCTTAACTAAAAACATATATATATATATATATGTTTATATATATATATATTTATAAAATTATGCGTTGAAACAACCCCTATAATTTTCGACGTAGAAATGTTGATCCATCAACCCTCTTCCTCCCCGTATATAAATACATGTACGCTCCCATTCGGTAACCTGTAAAAGAAATAAAACAATTAATACAAAATAAAGCCAATACTTGGCGTAGACTTTGTTAGGATAATTCATTAAACGAATAAAGATTAACGATAAAAATCTGACGACCTTCTAGTAGCTTCCCCGGTGATTATTCTAGCAGTAAAATTTTAAAGGCAACCCCAAAAACAAAAATTTAAAATGTTTGTAACTTCGATATCTTTTACAATAGAGATATACTAAGGGCATAATTGTGATCCCATTACCAAGTAGATCAACGTACTAATCGACTAATTAATCAAAATAAGTACACGTCCTAATATGCTCCCGTATATAGTTCTAAAATAACAGTCCCTACTCGCTAGAAGTATAAATATGATGCTAACAATCAAATTTACCAAACAAAAGTGTTGTAACTTCGAGATCTTTTACAATAGAATTATAAAAATAATATAATTATGATACCATGACCAAGTAGATCACCACACTAGTCGACTAATTCATCAAAAAAATGACGTCCAAACTTGGGTGAAAACGCTCTCGTATACATCTCTGGGATAATAATTCCAACATATTGGGTATATAGATGTAACCCCTCACGACGATAATATTTTATTTTCCATTGACCATCGATATACTGCTCCCAGTATAACCTATAAATCATAAAACCAAATAAATAATAGCTATGCACTAAATAATATCGCGATACTAATAATCGAAATACAAAACAAAATCGTATAAATATCAAACGAACTCTCCCTCTAAATAATATCATTAAAATCAAAATTACTAGTATCCGACTTAATATCGTCACAAGGATAACATAACAAATACAAGAACAATAAATGTTAAAATATTTTATAATAATATAATTTAAGTGCCATTGAAAAATTACAAGATATATATATATTAATCCCCAACTAACAATGAATATTTAATAAATATCCTATGAAACTTGTAAAGACAAAATTATAAATAAAAACGTAAGATAATAACCAAAATTTAACAATTGATAAAACTAATAAATTATATGGTACTAATAATTCTCTATGATTAAAATTGAAATTGCTTAAATGCAAATAATAATAATAACACTAATAACAATAATAATAACAATAATGAATTTGCATAAATTTTAATAAGACTTACCCTTAGAAATAATAATATATCCTTGACCATCAACATTTTAATTCAGCACTGCTTGTTTTTCTTGCTAAACCTGTTGACACCTAAAACACACACAAAAATGAATATATGTTCTTAGACCATAAATTAATAAAAATATTAACGATAAGAAAATTTCAGAAACAAAATTTTGGTAGTAAAATCTAGCTTGAAATTCTACAAAATAATTCTAACAATTATACATATGAATATATATATATATATATGTATATATATATATGCATCCACTCTTATAACCAATAATAAATGAATAATAAGACCTTAACAAATAAAATATTCACTTATAATAAGCTAATAACGAAATTTAACCAAATACTAGCGGCCCATAACACAAATAATAATTTAAAGTGATCTTACCTGAAAATCAAATAAGAATACCTTATATGACGAAGTCACATGACCCCCCTCCTGGATGCCTGAAAAATTAATGTAAAATAATATTTGGTCATAAGAATAATAATTTCTAATACGAGGCTGTCAATATTTTATAAAAATTTGCAAAGCATTAAGTATAACAAAATGGATAGCATCTATATGCTTAAGGCATATACACATGAGCCAATGAAAAGAAAGAAAAACCAACTAGCATAAATGAACAAAATAATATAAAATTTAGATTAAAATAATTAAAAAATCAGAATAAGGCCAATGAACATCATCAAAAATCAACCATGAACATTTACGATCACACTCTTCTATATATAAATGCATGTACCAAGCCTTATAAAATATTAACACTTCATATAAAAAGTTTTCAACTATAATAATCCCCCTTTTTTCAAGTACTTTAATGACAAAATTTCATAATACCAAACCTTATTAAGTATAATTATGTCAGAATATTACTTACTAGTAAGTCTTCATATGACGAAAATAAATGGACACCCTATATTCGTGTTCCTACTCACCGGGTACCCCCCTGGCAAAAGTATCGCCTGAATAAATAAAATAATAATATTAAGGATGGACACCTATAGCTACTATGAATATAAAATGTATATACACAATTGTAAAATGCACGAACATTTACATATGAGCACTCTTATACGTATATATATATATATATATATATATATATATATATGTACGTGCATATGAACATATGCAAATTTAATAATGTAAGACTAAAACCTTCCGAGAAATGAATAGAGCCCAGGTACATAATGTGCAAAATGACACTCGAAAAATAGAATCTAAATTCAAAAACTTTATTAAATAAAAATAAAAAATTACAACAATGAATATAATGACAGCAACTTCTTACCATGCATAATATACATATATCATTAAGTCAAAGGAAATAAAACGTGAAAACACGAGAGAAATAGAGAAATAATATGTGTACTTACGAATAATACTGCACAAAGAATATTATGCGTATAACTCTACGAGTCGAACAAGCGTGCAAGGCCAAGTCCAGCACGTCGCGTTATCTCCATTGGAATTTTTAAACATCCTCTCCCGACCTAAAGGCAGAGGGAAGATCTAAATTCGCGCTCGCATGAATGCAAACCAAATTAATACATCGACTTCTCTTTTATAATTAAGCATTAACAAAGCATTTTCTATTAATATCACACTATTATCCAGTATCATATACCTCTATATACATATATATGCATACTATATGTAACATGTGAACTGACTACATGTACACATATGTATACATATTTTATAACAAATCCAATAAAATAAAAGTAGAAACGTAATAAACAATCGTCAGGACGAAAATTAACATATATTAATATATAAAAATATACACCTTTATATATATATATATATTAACATGTCCAGAAATATCCCCATATATATGCATACTATATGTAACATATAAATTGAATAAATTTACATATACGCATATATATTTTATAACCAGACTCAATAAAATAACGGTATAAATACAATAAATACGCGTCGCGATAGAAATTGACACATATATATATTAACATGTCCAGAAATCTCCCTATATATATGCATACTATACGTAATATATAAATTGAATAAATTTACATATACGCATATATATTTTATAACAAAACTCAATAAAATAAAGGTATAAATACAATAAATAAGCGTTGCGATGGAAATTTACAAATATATATCTTAACTTGTCCAAAATTATCCCTATATATATGCATACTATATGTAACATATAAATTGAATAAATTTACATATACGCATATATATTTTATAACAAAACTCAATAAAATAAAGGTATAAATACAATAAATAAGCGTTGCGATGGAAATTTACAAATATATATCTTAACTTGTCCAAAATTATCCCTATACATACGCATACTATATGTAACATACAAATTGACTAAATTTACATATACGCATATATATTTTATAACAAAACTCAATAAAATAACGGTATAAATACAATAAATACGCGTCGCGATAGAAATTGACACATATATATATTAACATGTCCAGAAATCTCCCTATATATATGCATACTATACGTAATATATAAATTGAATAAATTTACATATACGCATATATATTTTATAACAAACTCAATAAAATAAAGGTATAAATACAATAAATACGCGTCGCGATAGAAATTGACGCATATATATATTAACTTGTCCAACAATATCCCTATATGTATATGCATGCTATATGCATATACATTTTGTAACAAATTTAACAATAAAACAAAGGAGGAGATATAATAGACTGCTACCGCGACAAAATTAATCAGCACACAAAACATATATATATATATATATTACGAATATTAACAAATAATTAATATTAATAACCCCAAGATTTTATACAATAATTATTAATCTTATACGATGATTATTAAATACGATTCAGTAAAAACTTGCTGAAATCAATTTTCATAAGCAATATGCGAATACATATCTATACATATATATATATATATATATATATGTGCTAATATAAAAGTCGCCCAAATGAAAATCTTCAAAGAATAAAATATTGTCAGAATCAAAAGACCTCTTGAATAAAAGATCACGGTAGAGCGTGCAATGAATTCTTCGAGCACATCCGTCGTGATCATTCTTAGAAGTAAAACGAGCCGCTTTTTCATACGTTGTTCCGAGAACTGTAAGAATAAAATTTCTTTTAGCGACATAATAACTATTAAGCGAAGCGATAATTAATTTCCATATATTCTTATTGTAAAATTTATTGTAATAATAATGGCTTAACGCATTAGAATTTATTAAAATATTATTCATAGACTTGAGTAATCATTAAAAGTCGACTTTGAAAATTTTAAAATATATACATATAAAACCACAAAAATTCTAATTGTTAAAGCCTTTATTAAATAAATAAAAATATATCTTGTAAATGATAAATCTTAATAATTAGTCTTAAGATAATTATTAAACCTGGAAATAATACGTGTAATATGCCAATTTAAACCACGTAAACGAATTTTAAAAGGTAATTCATTAAAAAATATTACTGTTACTAATGCGTCTTATAAAGAGAAAGAATGCAGTGAGCATTCTTCGAAGGACATCCAGCATATCTATTTTTAGAAAAAGAGATAAGCCATCTTCGCATCCGTTGCGTTAGAATCTGCAATCCAAATGCTAAATTTTTCTTTACTAATTATTACTAATTATTAATTTACTAAATATTAATTAATCACTAATTATTAATTTTAACTATATACGCACCATTGTAAAAATCATTGTAATAATAATGGTTTAATACATCAGAATTTACCAAAATATCACTTAAAATTTAAACAATTGTTATAAATCGAACTCAAATTTTCTAATAACATAAATACGATATTATAAAAAAATTCTGATTGTTAAAAATCATTATTAAAAATTATTCTAAAATTATTTAATAAATCTAAGACGCAAGACTTGCAATCCCTACCACAAAACTCTCACCCACCACATCGCAAACTCATAGCAGGAAGGGATAGCTCCAGCAGCCGACCCACCAATCACCAAAAAGGCCCACCTCTTCTCCCTACCATTAAACATCGAACCAGAGGAAGGTATATAAGGCCGCCGCCGCCGCCGCCGGTGTCTCTCTGCGCCATTAACTCGCCTGTGTCTCAGCTCTCTCTACGCCCATCAGATCTCCAGCTCTCGAAGAGGAAAAACCTAGAAGCCTACCGGACACCTTAACTTATTCGAAAATAACTTAGTCGCGATTTTGATTTTTTCTTTCGGGACTTAGTCTCAATCTCTATTAAGAGAGCTGTATCAACATTAACACTTTAATAAAGTGCTACCATCCAGCAACCTCTGACTCTTTGGCCATTCTCTGCGCTGCCTTGCCACTTCTTCAGGTTCTCACCGAGGTCGAGCAACCCAGGGAAGGAGCAGCGGTGCCTGTATTCATCCATTGATCCCGTCATCCGGTAAGGAAATAATAAAATAATAATCATTCTTAATCAACCTTGATAATAACTTTGTATATTAGTTCGATTTATTCTAGGCCTATTGACAATTTTCCCAGAATCTTACTTGCCCGTATACAGACTTTAAATTTTTCTTTCGAGTTAAATTATTTAAATTTCAACCGATCCTCTGAGAACGCTCGAAGCGTATCCTAGAGTGTAGCGTCGTTCGAGTTAGTCACTCGATGTGCATTGAGTAGCAAATTCTACTCCTCTGCCGCTTTCACGGAGAGCTTCTCTGAAAGAATTTCTCCGTGGATCCTGTGCCGCTGTGACGTGACGTCTTGCACATCGATACTAGACTCAGAATCTAAGACTCGCTCCTAGAGGATCTGTCGAAATAATAGAATTTATGCACTGGCTTACAAGTTAACTATCGAAACATTTTATGAATTTTATACTTATCTGAAGTAAGCCAGCCGCTCTCACCCGCATCCTCGTCTGTATCCTTGAATCTCCAGACCTCTCGGTGCAGCCGCATGCTCCTGGAAATTCAGTATATGCTAGATAAATTATCATTCGTTGTACGACAATTTTCCCGAATCCTACCTTTCCGTATACAGACTTTAAATCCTTCTTTGAGTTGAATAATTTAAATTTCAACCGATCCTCTGAGAACGCTCAAAGCGTATCCTGTACTTATCTGAAGTAAGCCAGCCGCTCTTACCCGTATCCTTGTCTGTACCCCCTGAATCTCCGGACCTCTCGGTGCAACCGCATGCCCCTGAAAAATTCAAAATATATTAAATAAATCATTAATTGCTGTACCCCAATGAACTGTATATAGCCGAACGTTTCAACCATGATATGAGAACGAGTGAGATATACTATCATAATCTACATTCGTTTATCTCACAATAATCCGTTAAGCCGTATTATTCGTCTTAACTCTATGAACCACCTTGCTGTGACTACATTTACCTTATAAAACCATTCATCTTAACAGGTACCTTTCTACGCATCATCGTAAGTAAACCCCTTTTGTGTTAAATCAATCGCATCAAACATACTAAATAGTCGTATTCCCTCGGTAGATGGTTAA